ATTAATTTCAGTATATCATTTAGACATTTGGCATATGTACTGGGGAAAATGTAGCCAAAAAATAATCAAGTAAAAAAATGTACATAAGGCGAGTAAGAAGTGAAACGGAATGACAATTTGCAAATTGAAAGTAGATGTATGTGCACTGCCAAATGTAAGCAAAATGAGGCTATATGGCAAAGTGTAAGAAAATGGAGGAAAATGTAAAATATTAGATAATGCAGCTGTAATTGGAAGGAGTATGTTAGCAAATGTGTTAAAATGCAAGATGAAGGAAACAGTACCAAAAAGAAATAAAGGTCAATATGTTTTGGAATACAATCAGTGGAGGTTTATTCAGTAAATATGATATGACTGCAAAATTACTTTGATCTGGTTTAAACTGTTTCTCCTAAATTTCAGCTTTTGAGGGACCAGCCTCATGTTGGCAGGTTTTTTTTTTACATTTTATTTTTTAGATTATGCAAATCATTTTAAAAACTTTGATTAGCTCAAGCAATTTTAAAATTTCTTCTGCTTAAAAGGAGAATGTACTCATTACTTAGAAATATATCCAAAGCTATCAGGTTTTAGGCAAGTCACTACAGTAGCAGCATAGAGCATGTAGACAAGCTTTACTATATTCCAGTGATCATGACTGATTCACAGTGATCACAGTGAACGTGAGTCTCATAACGATGCTTTTTGCCTTTACATCTTTGATCAAGGACACACTGATTATTTTTAAACCCATCTTGCCATAGCGATGCAACATAATCAGTTGTCAATCAGCAAGTTACACTTAACTGTCACAGGAGCTACACTCAAGCAATCAAAAAGGCTGCAGTAAGAGACATCTAAAGATTAGCTGAGATTCCAACTGTCTCAGTAATGTTCCTCAAAGATTAATACATGCCTTCTCAAAGTTCAAAGGTGTTTTTACACCAGGTGTGTGTTTCAGTTGGTCCAGATCAATGGAAAAAATGATACATTATGGGGTTTTATGTCTGCTCTGGTTTACTTTTCATAAACTAAAACCAGTTACTATTTAGGGCCCTATATCCATGGCATCTGATCAAGATGTATTAGCGCAAGTGGTGCTTGGGTGTGTCCCATGTTCATTTCGGTAATTTGACTATGAAGAAAAAACAATTCAAGTGCCCCTGCATGTAGCAAAAGGGCTGTACTTGATCTCCACATTAAAACAGGGGTGTGTTATCCAATTAGTGTGTAACCTCACATCCCCTTAAAGAGATGTGTGAGTTTGAACGTTTGGTAGACTGCTAGCATACTGGTGGACTTGCCAGGTTGGACATCAGTAAGATTTTCCAATGAGGAAATGGATCTGCTTGTGTGCGAGGTGAAGGTGTCACAAAGAGCTTATGAGGAATAAGTCATTATAACCAATATTAGGCTGCAGTTGATCACATGACATGAATAATGCCAAGCTGGTTGTTTCAGGATGAAAAGACACATTCTGAGGGCACTATTGTACATTTTAATACTACCCACGAAGGATACCAGCACAACAGACTATAGCTTTAACTGCTTTGGCTGTCTGATTAATCTGGGTAAAATTATCACACTTATCTGCTGACACCAGTATGTATTATCATGATTATCAAATAATTTACATCTGTAATGTTTTGATTATACAGATTGATTATAAAATCACTTCCTGAACAGTTCACAGAAAGCAACTGGATTTATTAGTAGTTTGGCTTTTGAATTCCTGCTAAACTCACATACCTGCTATCACAAAGTCCTGTGGTTGGTCTGTTTGCTCTCGCACCACAAAGGAATCTCACCATGATTTGTTTGAAATCAGACCTTTTTTTGTTTCATCTCTGTCTACTTCTTGTTTTTTACTGAACCAAACAGGTTAGGTATGAAAACACCAGGGTAGATGGAACACAAAGTACCATGATCATGTGGGCCACATGCAAAATCATTATAAGCTGTTTACAAAAAATGTCTTCCTTTGTTAAACAAAGCATTGTGTGACTACGGTATGAAGGAACCGGATTTAGAACCAGATGTGTTCTGCCTATAAAGCGGACAGGGCAGAAAGTGTGTTCGGAACTTTAAATAAATTCACATCTGGCCATAAAGCATCTTTCCACCCACACTCTCACCCCAGTATGATGATACAGGGCCAACTGACACTCTTTTTAAATACATTTTAAATATTAATGCCTGAATGTCACTAAACCTTTTACAACTCAACCAGGAGGGTCAAAGGCTTAGAGAGACAAACTAGCCACAAAATAAAGACCAGAACTTTTGGTGTTATCATGGACTCTAAACTGAATTTTAAGGCACATGTGGGATTTGTTGCCAAAACTGCTTTATATCATCTCAATAAATAAATCACTAAAGTATGTCAGTTTCTCTCTGAGAGTGACATGGAGAAATTATTCCACACTTATATTTTACTGTATTGTTCTTGTAGTGGATCTACATGCAGCAGAGAGACGGTTACAGAGGAATTCTTTAGAAATAATTAAAAGACTTATTCCCGTCCATCTCAGGGTGGTGGAGACTACACCACTTGTGATTCCCAGTAAAGATATTGTCAGGAAAGCTTTTCAAAGTCATAACTTTCCATCAGAACCAGAGACTTCCCAAATTGTATGGATCTGAAATTGCATTGTTTACAGTGACTGGAATCCACATCACCTTCCCTTGTGTGCTCACATGCTGATCCCTGGACTCTGAGTTACTGACTGGAGATTGAAAAGTCTCTCTTGTTATCTGAGCCTCTCTCAAGTTGACCTAAAGGGACACTCTTAGAGAACCCCAGAGAAGGCATTTTTATGACTTTTGTGAGCTTTGACACAGAACAGACCCAACAAGAGCTCATCTTTCTTCTCACAGAAAACACTTATTTGGGGCACAGAGATTCCAAAATCCACATGAACTAAGTGCTTAAATCCTATGCAACCTATGTAGTAATGACCACTTATACATTTCACGATGTTCAGTCCAACTTTTATTGCTCTGGGACTATATTATTATTTGATATGAAAACCAGACTTAACTAATCCTTCCATGGAAGTGTGTGGTGGATTTTAGAGCTTCCCCTTCTGGTAAAATAGAGCATTAAACAGTTTGTGTCATCTCATTGCATAAATGACTTTTAATCATGACTTTAATAATTATTCTGTTGGATTTTGTTGTTTTATAAGACTATAAACTGTAATAATCCTATAATGTTTAATCTAGGAAGTATTGATGAGTAAATGCTAGAAAAATAATCTTGTATGATTAAAGATTTTAGACATTCCAGATGTTATGTGTAATACCTAGTTTATTCGTGTTATCACAACTTATATGATTGTTCACTCTATTATTATATTCCTGACTTATTTGGCATGGTAAAACAGGTAGACAATGCAAAAAAATTAATAAAATTTATGTTTAAAATCCGAATTTTCCCTTGTACCTAACAGAGAAATCTGAGACCACTACTATCCAAGACACACCTCCTCCTTGGACTCATGTCACAAACTTAAAGAAGTTTAATTCTAAAGAATCTTTTGTCTCAAAAAAACTTTTGTTCACATCTTGTGCTGTTCCAAAGTTCACCTTCATGTTTCTTGTATTTTATATTCTTTTGCATGTTCTTTATTAATCCTTTTGATTATAATGCAACAAACTAAGCCCCGGTTATTTAAAATAAACAGTAGCTTTGTGGAGCAAGTCATAATCTCACTGAGTTTACTATAATATAAATTATTATACCTGCATTCAGCTGAACCACACCACTCAATTTAATGTGCAGTAGTCCAGATCCACACAGTCTATCCAACATCAAGCCAGACTGAGAAGAACCTGACCATAGCTGACCCAAACTTCCAGCCTCCTGCTGACAGCCAGCCAGCTTCCAGTGGGCCTGAAGGAGCAACATGGAGTGGTAGGTGATGAACGATGGCAGACAGAGCAGTGAGGCTGCTCAGGAGGGTGGCCACAGAGCTTAGTAGAGAGGTAGGTCCACTGAAGAGGACAGCCTCTGGGATAACGAAGGACTGAGGTCTCTGCTGTGATTGACCTCAGCGGCAAACAAAGAGGTATAGCTCTTCAGGTGGTCAACCTCTGTACCAGGCAGAAAGATGGGGTTGCTCAGGAGGTCGCATGAACTGAAGTCACTCTGGAGGTCGGCCTCTTAACCAGGCTGGAAGACAAGGCCACTCAGGATGATTGCCATAGTGCCAGATCAAGAAGCTGAGGCCATTCAGGGAGGCGAGCAGGAGGCCAGCGTCAGAGGTGGAACCCCGTGAGAGAACCGGCAAGAAACTAGTATCAGAAGCAGGATCCCTTGGGAGGATGGGCAGGCTCAACAGCAGTTGCTTCATTTTCCCCCCACCAGGGCACGAGGACAAGAGTGGTGGGGTGGTTATCAGTAAACTGGAACTCAGGAGTGGGGATGGTGTTATTGTCAACCCACCATAATACTGGGAGGGAGGGGGCACCCTCATTGACATACTACCACCCACCGGACCACAGGGATAGAAATAATGGCGTCGTCCTCAACTCACCAGGACCCAGGAACAGGAATGGTGGATTCAGTGGAGACACTGTCATATGCACATTGGAGTACAGGAACTGAGGCGGTGGCATCAGCATACTTGCTGACCCATCATAAAGCCAGAACAGAAGATGAGGCAGTGTATAAGGCAATATATACTGACAGGTTCAACAACCCTCTCTGCTGTGTCATTGCTGTGAACTCATTCATGGGGTGCAAATGCCATTATATTCAAAGTGTAATTGCAGTCACAATTTGTAACACTGAGACAAGGATTTGAATGCTGAAAATTACTTCTAATAGAATGTGAGTTGCTCAGCTAACAGGAGTCCATATCAACATGTTGAGCAAGAGAATGGATCCCTATTGGCTCCCACCTGTGTTGTCAGAAAGAGCAGATTTGAAAATATGAAAAGTGTGTCAGGGAGTGAAGCTCCCATGAATGTGGAGGTGTGAACCCGATTAAAGAGCCAGTAGTCAGAGGCAAGGTGGACAAAGTTTATTTCTTCAGGAAACTCAGATGAGGGAGTGATGGATTCAGAAAGCCTGTATCCATGAGGTGTACCCCGGTTGACGTCAGCTGGTGATGTCACTGGATACAGGGAATTCCTCCGAGTACAAGCAGGTGAAACCAATGTGAGTGATGAGGTAAAGCTCCCAGGAGTCAGGGTGAGCTGGGAACAGGAAGTGGTGTGAAAGTAAAAGTGGATTACTGGAAACCGAGGACCAGGGATCATGACAGTGTGTTCAATTTCTGAAATAAATAAGTCAAATCTCTGAGTGGAGGGTGTTAAATATCTGCAAATCAAGCTTCCTCAAGGCATTCCAGAGATATCACAATCACAAGAATGGGACGAATGTGATAACACTGTGACCTTGACCTTTGACCACCAAAATCAAACACTTCATCTTCATCGCCTTATTTGACCAAATCTTGACAAGGTGTTGCTGAGATATCACGTTCATGACAATGGGCCAAACGGATGGACAGAAGACGTTTGCTGGCGTAGAGGCATAAAAAGGTATTAACAGGGCACTACAAATTACAAACAAAGTATTACTGACCTTTTAGTCCATAATGGTTTTATATTTGTAAGACTTGTTCTTCTTTTTTTTTTAAGTTAGTTTTTAGGGCTTTTTTGCTTTCATTTGTCAATGGGTCACAGAGAGGTGGAAAGGAAACTGGAGACAGAGATAGAGAACGGGAGACCTGTGACAAATATCACCCTGATAGCCAGATGGTTAGGGCTATCAGGCTGTCAGTTAAGACCTGTTATTATTGTACACATGCAGCTCACATTTCAGCTAACTCTGCCCATGCATGGCAGTTTAGAGCTTCAACAGTGTTAACACAGGGTGCTGGACACATTCCACTTAAAACATGAATGTGAACTGTCAATATATACTGTAACCATCCTCTGAAAATGGCCTTACCAAACTAGCAAGAGAAGCTCTGTTTGTACACATACACACATTCTAGAAGAACAGAACAGTTACTTTGATGGATTTAGTTTTTGGAGACATTGATTTTTGACCAATTTCACACAAAATTTGGTTTGTATCAGTGTAGCTGTTTTATTCATCCACCAGTCTTCTAATATATATCTATTAATCCTTTACACCTTGTCAAAAGTGATTTTAAACTCCCACAGAGCAAAGTTGGAGATGAAAGGTAAACAAGAAACATTTCAACACTCATAAGTCCTTTAGAAGTGATGGTCATTGCTGTATCAATCCATTTAAACCAGTATCTAATTTCTCATGGCAGGATGCACTGGCAGAGGAAACTTTACAGTGTGTCCAGCCTTAGTGTGCCATGTTCTGTTGACTAATGTGAGATCCACAGTGAATTTTTAAACCATCTGCTCTAAGAACTAACCATCTAAATTCCAGGCCAACCCTGTTAAAATGTTGGCTGAAGGCTCCTTCCGCTCTGTGTTCCTTTCTTTTCTCCTTTCCTCTCATTCTCCAGCCTTACCCCCAGCCCTTCTCCTCTCCTCTCCTCTCCATCCTCCCGTACTCCCACTCATCCTCTCCTGTCTAACCTTCCCCATCTCCCCGGTCTGTCTGCCTCTTCTTCTGCCCTTACCTCCTTCATGTTTTTCTCTTCCCCTGAGGTGGAACTACCAATTATGATAAAATGAACCGTGACAGTCTGGACATCTGCTGAAGAGTAGACTCTGTTGAGGGAATTCATTCTGTTGTCTGCTGAAATACACAGACAGGATGATAAAGTGAGATGGCTAACGACCCAGTCAGGATACATCCTCAAGTTAGTCAAATATGAACAATATTCGATTACGCTACTGTCTATCCTGTGTAACTATCTGATGAACATGGTGAATGTTGATAAATTCAGATGCTCCTAATACCACTACCACTCATTGAAAGAGATGCACTATTTCATCTGGTCTCCTACATTATAGGTCTTCAGTCTAATACTAGTAATACCAATAAGCTTTGCCAGATACATTCTGGAGACACCATAACTACAAACTGGCTGGTCCAAGTTTCAAGGCTGTAGTGCAGAGACAAAGTGAAAACACAGTGAGCAGAGGATTTGTGCATACAAATTTCAATAACAGTTATACCATGCATTTCTACATCTGCTGTTTAATTTGGCACTTTCCCTCAGTTACCCTGGTTATCGAGGTATCCAATAGGATAATGTCAGGGTGGCTATCTGCAAGCTCATAACAAGTTGGGAGGTGCAGCAGGACAATGACCCTAAACATCAAAGTAAATCTACTACAGATTTACAAATCCATCTTTTGGAGTTGTCCAGTCAGAGCCCAGGCCTCAACCCAATAGAGATGCTGTAGAATGACCTCAGTAGAGCCGCTCACACCAGACGTCCTAAGAATATGGTTGAGCTGAAGCAGCTCTGTCAGGAAGAACGGTCCAACATTCCTCCTGAACATTGTGCAGGTCTAATTCACAGCTACAAGAAGCACTTGCTTGAGGATACTGCTGCCAAAGGTGGTTCAACCAGTTATTAAAGTACTGCTGCCATTACTTTTTCCACCATCACTTTGTGTGTTTAATGGGTGTGTTCAATAAGGACATGGAAGATCATGTCTGTTTATGTTTTATCATTTTAGAAATATTGTTTTTGTTGATAATTGTGACTTTGGTGAAGAACAAATCACATTTCATGCCCAATTTATGCAGACGAACAGGAAATTGGAAACAGTGCCATTACTTTTTCTTGCAACCGTGATGTGGAGAGGCATAAAAATGGAAAGCCTGCTTGAGCCTGCCCTTGAAGATCATGTTTCAAAGAATTCAGTGGTGTGCACTGGTGTGCTCTAGTTAAACCCTATATAAACCCATATAAACAAATGCATGTGCACACACTCCACTAATGCACACAGAAGAACAACCATACCACACCCAGCACAACTCCACACATGCACACAGGAGACAAGCTGATGGAGGTGATTTGTTGTCTTTGACATTTTCTATTCTCCAGGGTTTCATAAAGTAACTTCTGCTCCAGTTTCTTCCCACATTTTCTGTAGTTTTTCTACCTGCTGTTTTTTTAAATTATATTCCACCTCATCTTTTTTTGTATTATTATATGCATAGAAGTACTACAGATTCTTTTATATTCCACTATTTTTTCACATTGCCTTGCAGCTCCTCACTATTATTTGTTTTTCATCACCTCCAATTTCCTCCTCAATTTTCTTTGTCAGAAACCTGTTCTTTAAGGGATAATTCTAGTTATTTTCATTCCTAGGTCTTGTTTTCCTTCTAGCTGACATCATGATGATTGATTGCATTCAGAATTTCATCACTTACTACAGTGTGGCGCTTTATAGCTTCACTTATTTAACTGCTGCTGTTCAATACCCAAACACATCCGGCTCCAAAAAAGTTTCAAGCATGTCCTTTCAACCTAATAACACTGTCTACAATCAGACAAGCTTATATTCAATATCCAACCCACTTCAGCACAGTGGCACAGGCTAGTGAACAGCAGTGAAGTGGCTGCATCTCTCAAGAATTGTATCCTTGTCTGCACCTGCTGAATTGCCATGAATCTGTAGAAGTAGTGTTACGCTGCAGTCTGGGCTTTGAGATCTTTTTGCATTACCTAAATTCTTACTGGCATCACTGTTAAACTGCTAAATGAGTGATTTATGGGTAACAGGCAGCACTGTACCACTTAACCTCTGTGTGTTGTTAATTTTTTGGTTACACTACCAGTGTTTGTTGGTTAGGTTGACCCACAGAATTTCTGGTTTTGTAATTCACCACAATTAAACAATTTTGTGTTAAAATGCTCAGCAGATGTTTACATTTGCCCTTTACCTTTGTTAGTCCAACTCTTATTGTTTTTTAATAAAATGCAATATAAAAAAAAAACAACACAAACCTACCTCGGGCTCTGTAGATGGCTGATCTTCTTCTACAAAGTCACTGTCAAACTCTGAATTTTCAGAAATGTGAATGCAAGGCCCTCTGAACAGAGATTCCTTTGGCCATCTTGATTGGCTGTGATATCAGTTGCGCTAAGGAACCACACTGGCAATGCTGTATTTATTGTGTCTGTCCTGTGGGTGTTGCACCCACAAGGCACAGGGTACAATGGGCAGCAATGTGTGGAATGTAGGGTGTGGAATATGCGAGCAGACAGGCGTGAGCACTTGCAATTTGCAACACAAATGCAAAAACCACACTTCTATCATCCCAGGACAAGTTGACCCATGAACATCCTGTTTGCAATGTAAATATGTAGGTGGGGTTGCAGTGTGTGTGGTCACTGAAAATGTGTTCTGATGTACAGTATGTTCTTCACAGAAAATGAGCCAAGGCCACTGAGTCTGAGCTTGAAAAAATAATTACTTGGATTTTTATATATTGTCAAAGTGAAGTTACAAATGGTGCCTCCATTCAAAGTGTCACTCTCACTTTTACGGTGGCTGTTCATCATTTGTACCGCAGCATGGCGTGTGTGATTGTAGGTGGCGCTCAGCTTACACTCACACATACAGCACCCTGTGCACATGCAAACATCATACATCAGATCCGGATGGAATCTTGTCTGGTAATAGACATTGCCACCCTAAATACATGTCAAATATCAAACAAAACATGGTTTTGATAACTTTAGATGGCAATATGATTTTTTTTAAAGATGTAGTTTAGTCTTTTATATGATTAATTATGAAATAAATAATAAAAATACTCTGAAGCTGTTTATAGGGTAATGTACAGAGTAATCACTGGCTACTAACTAGCCAAGCCAAGGAGCAGTGGGGAAGTTCCTACCTGCCAAAGTCTGCATATGTTTAGAGGTCATTCTCTCCAAGTGATGGACATTAACACACTTCAGGATTTGATATCTGTATAGATGCTGGCTATCCTGTGTTAGGGTCAGAGATATTTAATAGTAACAAAGTTCAAAGTGTTTATTTTGTCATATGCACAGTTAGGAAACGTGTTTCCTTGTAGAATGAAGTTACTTTGCCGTCCACATGAATGCCACAAAATACAAATGAAATATAAAGTAGATAAATAACACAAAATCTAAGGCACTTTAAGCAGCGCAGATGCAGTAATATAGTAGAAAAAAATACAAGAATAAGAATAACAATGTTGCATGTAGCAATAACAATACAAGAATAACAATTTAGGAAGTTGCCACAATTGTGTGTGTGTCATGCTGTCAGTAACTGGCTATCAAGTGTGACAAAGAATGAGGCAAAAACAAGGTTAACATCAGTTTGGCATGTCTGAGACACAAAAAATTGATGTAGATGTGGCTTTCTTCTTGCTAGACGTGCAGGTAGTGTAGCTGGCTAACGTGTATAGGTCGGCATCATTAGCAAGCCAACTTTGGCTTTTCATTTCTGTACCTTTGTATATTATTTAAGTATTCTGGTTGTAACTTGGAGCCATTTCAAATGACTGCAACATTAGTGTTTTGTTGTTGAATTAGTGGAAACCAGCTCATTTTCTTGGATTAGCAAATTAAGTAATTTTGCTCAATTTGCTAATCTTTCTTCATTTTTGGTGCAATTTGTGTTTGATATAACGCAGCAGCCCATGTAGCTTTTTAGAAGTTGTTAAAATTTACACCATCTTTACATTTAATAGCACTCACTTTTATTTGTAATTTCATTGCAGTAAGATTTTTAAATGGAGTATTACTTGTTTCTCACATGAGAGGTTAAAATAATGCCGAGGACCAAGGGCTCCATGCTGCAAGCTGATAACACCATGAGTTAGGTGTTGGTTCTCAGTGGCTGGCGCTGCCCCCACGTGATCAAGGAACCTAGCAGTGAGTCAACCAAAATGCAAAGCAGACTCAAACTCAAGCAGCTGAAGTGCCTGCTCTATGTTTTGCAGCTTCTTTGTCAACTCTGAACAATAACAACAGACTGCTGTGTCTGCAGAAAAATGCTTCATTCAGTCAAAAAGACATTGTATTGGAGTATTATCCAACAATCAAACACAATCCCTAAGAAAAGAGTTACATAAAAAAGATTTAGGAAAAGTGACTGAAGGAGCTGGCTATAAAATACTAATTTGGCAAGGGGTAGTTTAAATAAATAGCACAATGGTACACAGCTGATAAACCTCTGTCCTGTCATATAATATGGTTTGACAATTCAGAACCCTATACTGTTGGTGGACTGTTTAGTAGACATCTGGTGGCCAAAAGAAGAACTGCAGATGAGATTTTATGAGCCTCATGAAGGGATAAAAATATTGCATTATTGATGTAGCACCACAGGCAGAGCACCGCAAATACACTGCGGTGAAAAAAAATATGACACTTTGAATGCCTACATCTGTACAACTCATGGTTAACTTATAACATTATGTATGCCAAGTATGTAATATTGAAAGTGACGCAATAGTGGAATAGTTGGAACATTAGTACTGTATCAATATTATTGGTGCAAACATTTCTCTGTGTAATTTGCTTGTGTTAGTGTACATACATTTGCTACAAACAGCATTAGACATATGTATGCATATCACTAAAATATGAACCTCTTTACTGTGTCGCTGCAATGCCACCGAAAACCACAGGCTCTGTTTTCCGTGTACAGCTGGTTATTACTGCTGCACTACCTGACCGCTACAACTGTCTGGCTGTCATGATAACATATGACCTAGTTTCAGAAACAGGTTAGGAAGGGCAAAGAAAAGCAGATACTGTTTGAGTTCGACTCTTTTTTTCACCCTAAATGGTTGAAAATTAGAGGGAGAAATTAGTTAATGCAGCTTTAATCATATGTAGTGTTGCTGTGGAAACAATGTTTTAGTCCATAGTAATGTTTACCATAACAATAATAGGCCACTGATAAAATCCTGGCAGTCTTTTGTCTAAAATATACACTATGCAGAGAACTAGAGCAATAATCAACTCAAAGCAAATAGCTGATCTTTGATCTGTCCAAAGTGATTGTACATGTTTAGCTTGACCTTTTACAGCAAGTCAATAGAAAGTTTCCAAAAACACAAAGGAAGAGTGTGTTTGCCAGGGGCTGATGTAAAGTTGACATTGGCAGCTTGGCAACTTTATTCCTAACCTGATCCTTGACATCTCTACAGACTGTGTAGATGTGCCTGTAGGGCAGCAGCTGAAGTGAGTTAATTTCAATCTAAAGTTATTAAGGACAAAGTCACCGGAAGAGTGGAGCTGAAATTCAGTGGAGGTGGAACACTTAATCAAAAGTCAAATACTATTCCACAGCTTTGGGTCAGCTACTGCAAAGGCACACTCCCTTACCCGCTATCCTTGATCATAGAATAGCTGATCTGAAACAGATGGTTTTAAGATTTTAGAGACCTATAGTGAGAGATGGGACAGAGATGTTCCAAAATGTACTGACAACTCATGCAGGGCTTAAAAATAAATAAAAGATACAAGAATCCATACAGGCATAAATGGTTAGTAAGGTTTAATATAAGTAACACCAAAAAAAAAAAAAAAAAAACGCAAGAGCTCTATCTAACCAACAGCAACAGAACATTTAAAGAAAAACTAATGACTCAACAGCACTGTCAGGGAGCAATTACAATGAAACTCTAAACAAGTAACAAGGCTAATGAAACTTAATAGAACTCTCACCACAAACCTCATTTCAACAAAGTCCAAAAACAAAGTACAAGAGGAAAGAGTCCATAAACCTCCAGGAGCCAAACAAAACAGGAGATGATCATAACAACAACAATACATCCACAAAACTGGGCAGGATCAAAATATTCCCCTTTTAAAACAACACCAGTGGCTGTCAGGCAAGCTTATATGAACATGTAACTGTCTGGAGATTATGCCCATTCAAGGAAATCCTTATTTTACAGGCAAAAAAGTCTTATGAGCGAGAGTTTGTGAGACTTGTCTAAATGGAGTTGCTTCTGCATAGAAATACTAGAACACCTCATTTTTTGAGTTTTAGGTAATGTCTAAGATGATAATTCACTGTTGTAACATTGTAGATAAGTCAAAAAACAAAGAAAAGCATGATACACATAATTAACCTTACCACTATTAATCTTTACAGGTATTATTCACACGTAACAAAAAAAATAATTACTGGACAAACACTTAATAAACCATCTGATCTGTTAAAAAGAGTGGATGCTCCTAGGATGTTCTAAACACATGTACTGAAACAAAGCACTGTTTTCCTTGTAAAAGGAGCATATTGTATGTTTTCTTTATAAAAGATACTATTCTAAGCTCATATTTATGAAGCATCTCAGAACCTCCCCCAGGAATCATGCTGAAAACTAACTTGGGACTAAAAACCCTCGTACCTCAGTGTACGACTTTAGTTGTTTATGAAGCGTCCTACTTTCGCTTTTTGGGTTTGTAGTTTTAGACACTGAGAAATGGAATTGCCGTTATCAGCGCCACTTGTCACTTGCTTTATGTGTATAGACAAGAAGCTGGTAATTGAAAATATCACATTCACTATATGCTATAGTAATGTGCTTTATATCAGTTCTCTTTCTGTAATAGGCTGAAAGTTTACTGAAAAGCCACGTCTCACCTGTATGAAATTATCTTTATCAGCCTTATTTTATTCAAATTCCCTATACTAAAGATGTGTATTTATGGGGAACAATTATTTTCACAGTTTCAGTCTGCTTTCACTGTCACTTGAGTTGTGTGTGGGTCCATTTGGACACTAAAACCAATAAATCAAGGATCATGTAGTTCACAACCACTTAAGTGTTAAGACTGTGATAAAGTTTTTGATTCACAGACGCATGCTTATTGGTGGTGGTGGTGATTATTTTAATGTGGGCGCCATCGATGACTCCAGCATGTCCAAGGAAACTGGTGAGTTGAGTATTTGTAGCTGGATTTTCACTGATTAACAGTGAGTTGTGTGGAAATGAATGAATCGGTGTGTTTATCAGTGGAGCTGTCAGAGCGATCATTTAATATGGCCGAAATGGTCAGCTTTGACAGACTCAAATCATCACTGTTACTACACAGTAAAAATTATATTCAGACTTGTGACCATGCATTGATGGTTACATTTCATCTTTTAGTTTAAAGGGCAGTTGTAGTTTTATTTCACAAGGCTACCAAATGAATGGACATTACAGAAATCATTACTCAATGTAATAAACATAGTTTGAGAGCACTTTTCTTTATACCTGTGTACTTACATGAGCAGATTTTCTATTCACATAGTTTGTGAATGGCACAGGAACCCTTTGGGCTTGGGAATTGTAAAAACAAATCCAGATGTTTAAAAAGATCCCCGTCTACTTCTGTGACTGCACAGACCCCGTTTCACTATTTGCACTCCTATATCCTCAGAATTCTGGCTGAATAGTGATTTTATTCTGTCCAGAAAGATGACTGATGAGGAGGCACACTATTTATACATTTTAATTCAATCCTGTGAGGTTCACCTGCTCTGGAGCAGGTTAGTCATGCATCATAAGTCACTGTGGTGATCTAGCCCCTGTATAAGCGAACCAGCTTTGTGGTACTGGAAAACCCAAGTTGAGTCTGAAGTTAGCTGGATAACCTACTAATCTTACTTTGTGGCACAGGCCCCATGCCTAGTCATGGTTACAGGGGCAACAACTGTTCATCTCCAAACTAGTAGATCAGGGAAAACAGTTCAGATGAGGGGGCAGACAAATAAAGACAGAAACTTGAATACTATAAGGGCATACAGGAAACTAGGGACAGGTTACAGACCAGAAATCTTGACAAACCAAAACATCCAAACGCAGGTGAATCCAGTGGTTCAAACGGGAAAAGCAGGGTCAAAATCCAAGTAGTAAACGGGGAAAACAGGATTAGAATCACTTTATTTCTCCAAGTATTTTGTATATACAAGGAATTTGTCTTGTCTACACACCCATATAACATACTGTAGCGTTTTGCTGGAAGAAGGGTTGGGAGAACAAAGCTTGTCTTTTTCCTGTTTTATTTTCCACACAGCAACACTCTGAACACCACCACCACCACCACTCGCCAAAACCTGAATTATATACAACCTGCCCACTGGGTTATGGGAGATCCTGCCAGGTGTGTTTCCCCTTTGGCATTCTGGGGAACGTCACCAGTGTCTCTCCACCCCCCAACACCACAATACAAAAGGTGACCAGATAAGTACAGAGTCTACTGTTTAAAAGTATTTAAGAAAAAAAAGATACTAATACAACTAAATTCAGAATTAATGCAATAAGCTGAAAGCATAAATCTAAAAGTCAGTGGAGATGCCAAGAGTTTGGGGTGTGTTTTTGGGTATACCCATGAGCAAAGATGAGGGTGAACACTGGAGCCTCAAAAAACATGTTATTCGATGACAACCTGGCAGAGAATGAATGCTGAGAGCCATCTTAAATACAAGTCCTCCAACCTATATGATCCATATGATCTTTTGTCCCTTCTCTCTCATACAACCTAAGAGGTGTCTCATTAAATAGAGCACCTACAATTGCCAGAAGTATTGCAGCAATTCTGTCAACATTAATGACAATGTACTTTGCACTACCAAGCTTTACTGACCTTTATCATGCAAACAGCCATAAACACATTAGCTAGCTAGCAGCAAGCTACTGGACCGCTGTTAATTTGGAAACTGGTGTAAATACGCATGTTATGAAATGTCACAATTTGCTACATCAACTACTTGGTCACATTAACAAAAAAAAAAAGCACACACTAGTACTGAACTTGAGTCACATCAGGGGAAGTCTTGTGTTTTGTGTAGCTAGCCATCCACCCCAACCTCTTTCTAGTGAAGACTTTGTGCCTCTATATTTGTTTGTATTAGAATTAATACAACTGTTGGACATCACCACACTATAACACACAGCATTTTGTCTTAATAACCTGCTGGCACAAATGATGTATACTGTTGTGTTTTACAGACAAACAGAGTGGTTGATTACACTGACAACAAGCGAGTGTGCTAGAAAGACAGGCTGGGTCTAAAATCATAAGTATCTAAGCATCCAACACTACTTAAAATCATGGTTTGCTAATCCAAATTTATTTTTTATTTCCTAAACATACAATCAATGCTCCAATTGCCCCAATACTCATCTCCTCTCACACTAGGTATGAAAAGTAGATTTTTTTTCCCATTGCTTCAACCACTGAGTATAAAGTCAGTTACACTGCATTTTGAGATGTCAAAATTATTGCAGTTGAGTTAGATGCAAGTGATTTTTTTTCTCCAAATTGGATTTGTGATTTAGGACTTGCATTGATTCAACACTCTGTTTACTGGACAACAACACTATGGATGTCTCCCCCAAAACAAAAAGAAGGCCCATCCATCCATTTTCTAAACTGCTTAGTCCGAAACGGGGTCACGGAAAGAAGGGCCAATGGGACTGAAAAGTTGGATCAGTGTTTCCAGTTGTTCAGTGTCCAGGGGAGACACCCGTCTGAAACCTGTATTCCAACATAGTCCGTGTCTAAAATTTCCACATCTGAAAACTGGTCCGTGTGAAATTAAACATGGTTCATAAATGAGTGTTGAAAGTGCACCAAAACACATTTGATTGAGCAAATCTAAAAGCTGGGATTTATCCACAAGTACAAGCATGCGTTTCTACAACAGTTGTTAAATTAAAGAGCTTAACGGTAGCATGTTAAGAGCTACGTGATTATTTAGTCTTACCTCAGTGCTCCCAGGGGGGTTGACAGGATTCTGACTCTACCAAGTTTCCCACAGCTGGTTTAGGGTGTAGTTACATTCTATTCTGGGTGAATGGTTGATCCATCCATCAGTGAGTATGTCCAGATTTGCCCGGACTTGGGCCAGAAATGCATTCTGTGCCCAGAAAACGTGAATGTTGTTTGCTGGATCCAGCAGTGTGTCCTCCTTAGGACTGTGGAGGAGACTGCCAAACATGAGATGCCAAACACAATACTCCAATCCACAACACAGGCACTCAATCCTGAAAACAAAGACAAAACAGAGATCACATTTTTCTTTTCCCTAAACCTCTGGTTCATAATCACACATTTGGGAAAGCAAATACATCAAATTAAGAGACATTTTTAGCTTCATGAATACATACAATCAAATTATGTGAGCAATATCATAATAAAAGCTGAATGAGGTAGATCTTTTTTCATCACAGTGCCACTCTGTGTAATGTAGGCTGTAGGTACCCGATTGAATTGTTTGCTTCACCTCCACTGTCATGATGTCAAATCTCTATCTGACCCATATTCTATTGCACAACCCACCATCCCACCATTTCTACCATAACCCCCATGGGGTCCTGGGACAGCCTCCAAATGTTAAAACATGAAAAGATCTACACTGTATTGAGCTCCCAGCAATTTAATTCAGCAGCAGCAGCAATGTTTCAATCTGCTCAAGCTCTTCATCAGGCATTGTCAAACAGGCATCACTATGCAAAGCACACATTTATATGCATTTGCTAAGATACCACTCAGGTGTTTTCAATCTGACTGACTTAAGAACAATCTGCCTCAAGAGGAGCAGCCATGACAGAACCAAACTGTGCTGCCCAAAACTCCCCACATGGGAGGAACAATCGAAATGACAATAAATATGATTTTTTTTTTTAAATCACAAAAATGTCAAATATACACATGAATAGTTATAACTATTTAAAAAGCAACTTTTTGGATATTTTAATCATTAAAGGGAAAAAACGTCTTCCACTCTGTCAATTTAATAGAATATATCATAATTGTAACTCGGATAAGCTTTATGTTAGACATAGTGCTGACATGGTTCAAAGATTTAGGAAGAGACAATGTAAGCAAAGTTGGATTCAAAATGCAGTAGAAAGGTTTGGGGAGGAGCCCTCGTAAGCTGAGTCAGGTGTAACTAATCACCTGGATCAACTGTGATTAGCTGTAATGAGTTCAATTAGCTCAGAACAAAAGAAGCTATTCCTAGAGCATTCCAGTGCTTTGTAACTGCAGCTGAAAGCAAACAATCAACTATGGGCGGCAAAGCACTTTCAAAAGATCTCAGGGACAAAGTTGCAAGTTAGGAGATGGGTACGCAAGGATTTCAAATGATTTATCTATCTCTACGAGTGACATGACTTCATGGCAAAGAGTGGTCATTTTGTGCATGCGACAATTTCACAAGTGTTTCAGCAGCCTGGCTTACCTCACTGCTCAAGAAAAGACACATTACGTATCATTTAATTAAAAACATGAGGACTGACTACAAATTTGTTACTTAAAAGCTACATAGAAAAATGTCGTTTTAATATCACAATCAAATACTTTTAGGAAATATGCCCTTGTAAATGTAAATATACTAAACAGTCAATATAATGCATAGTAAATATAGGCCTCAGACAGAGGTTACCCTACGTTGCTAGCAAAACAACAAGTAAAACAATCAAATGAACTTAGAATCCATGCACAAACACTTTAGGAATGAAACAATGAAAAACAAAACCAAAAACCCTGAAAAACTAAATGATTACTATCCCTAATGTAGGCCTAATCCTACTGCAAAGACAATTTCCCACAGGAAATACTGTACAATCAATTCAAACAAACTTACAGATCCCGCAACAACACTCTAGGACTGAAGCAATTAAAATACCCCCCCAAGAGCAATGAAAACATACAAGCTCAACCATCAGTCAAGCAGAAAAGAACCAAAGCCCAGAATAGAGCTGGGGCAGCAATCTTTACAGGTTCAGTGCCACTGTTGAGATTGTGCCTAGAAAAATGCATGAAGAAATCAGAAAGTATATGAAAGAATAAAAGACCCAATAAACTCTTGTAAATACCGCTAGCTGAGGGCACAGCTTGAGCACAAAGGAGGAAGGATATCACACAGAACCACAACTTAATCCGTGCATGATAAATCAGAGACACTGTGTGGAGTAACAAACACCAAATAGCAACAGCAGAGATAACAGTTTAGCAGGTGTTCACACTGATCCGGTAAAAATGCAACTCACTGATGTGCCATTCTCTCCCATACAGGGGTAAGGCTCTGCGCGGTGGGGCATTTTTATGAGGGTTTGTGTTAACTGCAGCTGGAACCAGCACAGCAGGGGGCTCCAGGGTTTTGGTTTTTGATTGAGCCTTGCATTTACAAAATGGCCTGGATCTCAAGAGCCAAATCAGCTGCCAAGAGAAATGAAGTAGTAGTCACACTTGTATGTCAATCTACAGTAGGCTATGGTCCAAGCATGCTTTGTTGGTCCTTGCAGAACCAGGCGTGGGATGTCATGTGTGAAGCCCTAACAAGAGCACAGCCTTACTAGTTAATAGCTTACTGAGTAACCTTTATTTTTTTTACCTCCTAGAGACACCTGTTCCAGACAATCAATGAGTTCTTTCTTTTCGTCTTCCTGTCAGTTGGTCTGAAAGAGAGGAACCTGGCTCATCAATTCAACATACACCAGTCCACAGTGTGCCGCATCATCGCCACATGGACATGTTTTCTAGCCACTGCACTGGGGTCAAAGTGGCTCACACGTGCAGAAGCGCAAGCTCGCCTCCCTGAGAAATGTATAGATTTCCCAGACATGCAGGTGATCCTAGACTGTACAGAGCTGAGATGTCAAACACGACCCTCACCCCTTCTCTAAAGTGAGATGTACTCCACATACAAATACCACTGCACCATGTGTCATATACAGGTTTATGTGAACATGCACTATAAACCTTTGCATACGGCAGCTTCACGTCATGGTGTTACGTTCCGGCACGAGAAATTGATTTACGGCAGGTAGAGAAGCTGCACAACAGTATGTTGTTGTTACCGCACTGAGTTCTGATAATAAAGTCAAGTTACTGAACAATCACCACTCGATCATTTTACATGGTGTCAGAAGTGGTTCTACTCACCCGGACAGAGACGGCGGTGTGAAAGTAGCTGAATGGCTAAGTTTAACCCCCCTGATAAACTTTTCTTTTGATAGGCCGTCAGAATGGCCAGACTGTAAACAGCGTTTCCAGCGCTACAGGATCGCTACAAAACTGGACAAGGACGACGGTCAAGTACAGGTCAGTTGCCTCATTTACGCCATGGGCAATGAAGTGGAGAACATTTACAAGTCATTCACGTTTGCAATAAGGAAGTTTGATGAGTACTTCTTTCCCCGGCGAAATATTATACATGAAAGAGCATGTTTCCACCAGAGAGTCCAGCGCCCGGATGAAAAGGCGGAGTGCTTCATCCGTGCCCTGTATGAACTGTCTGAGCATTGTGACTTTGGTGTTTCCAAGGAGGAAAACATCCGCGACCGTATTGTGGTGGGGATACTGGACAAGGAGCATTAACGCATTAACGCATTAACGCATTCTTCTTTTTACATGCATTCTGTAATCCCTTTTGGGCAGCGAATCTTTAAGCGGAGGGGCTGGCACACCTAAATTAGGGACACCTGCGTGTGGTCCGGCGCTGATCAACATATTGTGGCGACCTACGGCGGCTATTGGGGAGGGGTCTGGCGGCAGCGACATGATGCATGGGGGCATCATGGGAGCTCAGCGACTAGTTCGGGGAACAGTCGTAAAATTGTTAGTGTTTTATTGTGTTCTGATGTGCTGTTGTGTGGTGTTAATGATTTATACTGATATGTGTTTTGCTAGCTGGTTGTGTGCTGTGTTTCTAAACCGTAAGTCTAAGCTGTATGTGTAAAACTGACCCTGTGATGTGTGAGGCGGTTCTGTGTTCTAAATAAATGACCAGAAAGACAGAGTTGCATGATAGTCATTGTGAAGGACACGCCCAAGCGCTATCCAGAGTCGTGCGGTGTATGGGACCTGGAGTAGGCACTAATTGAACAGCATAGGTGCTAGCGCCCTGCTAGCTAGTTTAGCTGCTCAAGTATAGGTAGTCTTTCTCCTCCACGCCGGGGGTCATTACAATATATTTAAAAATTGCTCATATGCTTTATCTAAGTCTTCCTCTCTGTAAACTGATTCCCAGTTTTGCCCCATAAAATCCTCTTTTAGCCTCCTTACAGCATGTTCATTCGTCACCCTCCTATAGAAAAGATTTGTTTTTGGCCTCTCTTTTCTATACTGGCCATCATAAACCACAAATACTGGTAGATGATCACTAATATCATTTATAAGTAATCCACTTGTCATTTTGCTGTCAATAACATTGGTAAATATATTATCTATTAGTGTTGCATGCTGGGTTGTTACTCTACTTGGTTTTGTAATTTTTGGATATAGACTACATCTATATATTGTGTTCAGGTGAGAAACACTGCAGTAGTTCAGGTGAACTTCTTGATAAAGCGCACGAGTATTTCTACAGTCACACACTCCAGCAAATTATCTACCACCCTTGACATTTTCTCCACTTTCTTATAACAAAAGTTTTTATCTATGTACAAGGCCACACCACCTCCCATCTTATTCTCTCTGTTTGTGCATACCAAGTCATAGCCATCAAGGTCAAAATCCATTCACATTATTCATCCAAGTTTCAGAAATAGCAATTATATTAAAAGAATGTGTAAGACTACTAAGATAATGTTTTATACTCTGAAAGTTTGCGTATAAACTTCTGCTATTAAAGTGAATTACCGTATTTTCCGCACTATAAGGCGCACCTAATAGCCTTAATTTTTCTCAAAAATCGGCCGTGAGCCTGATAATTCGGTGCGCCTTATGTGTGCACTGAGTTCCAAAATCTGTAAAAATGTTGTTGTGCGACTTTGGTAAGCGCTCCGCTTGATTGACTGTCGGACCATTTCCCGCTGACACAGGAGCGTAATATGTACACTACGTACGCTGGCAGCGATAAACCAGTCTAAACCCGTCTAAGGACCCCCGAAAATGGCACCAGTGAAGAGACATGCTTACAAGGCACAATTCAAACTACAGTTACGCGGTTGTAAATGGGAATATAGCAGCTGCGAAAGAATTCAAAATCAATGAATCTATGGTTCGGAAGTGGATTTGTGGGTTGATTGATTAAAAAATTAATGTGAGTGTATTGTTAAATAGTAGAATAAAGTTCAACTAAACTCACTGTTTTGCTTCCGTTACATTTTATCATGCGCCTTATAATACGGTGTGCCTTATGTATGGGTTAAGTGCAGAAATACGCCCCGTAATTGAGACTGCGCCTTCTAGTCCGGTGCGCCTTATGGTGCAGAAAATACGGTAGTTTAAAAAAACAGGTGTCATCAGACTAGATGGACATGGAGATTAAGTGAAGTGATTACTTCGGGAGTCTTCAACTTTTTTCTTGGAGAGCCACTCTGACAAAATCAAAGTAGCTGAGAGCTACCCATTTTTTTACCGTTAAGAGTTATTTACATATGGTACCAAAACAAACAGATCCCCAAATCAAACAATCTTAATAAGCAAATAGTTTTCTGTAACCAGTAACATTTAATACAGTTGCACA